AGGGGAGAACTTCACTTTGAATCTTACAGGAATGTGTTGACCTCTAAATAACTCACGTCAAAATGTGTATCTTGTTTTCTTGTTAGTTTGTTTATTCTTTTTTCATTCATTTTCGGCCACAATTTTTCGCAGTGAATGAGAGTCTTATCCATGACCTCGCGCACAGCAGGTCAGAATCATTCTGCCCCAATGCGTACCCAGTTTAAAACTGAAGTGCACACTCCGTGACAGAAATCGGGTAAATTTAAACCCATGCTATGGAATTTTTTCTCAACACACGTACGAGACGCTGTCAACATGTGTAACGTCACTTTCGAAGGAGCCAAGAATTTTTCATGGCTACCATTTACGACAAGCACATGCTTGCACGTTCACTCAATGTAATCGTTTATTACAAGCAGTGACCCTTCTCTTTAAAAGCTGGGTCTTTAGAAATAAAATAGCTCACAGAAGTTTCTGTCATTTATGTTAAAAAATGTCGACACATTAAGCACTGCTGCGCAATAGCTTCCTACCGGCAGAACTTTTTTGGCAACTAGCCCCTACTCCGAAGGAGAGGGTGGTGGGCTGCGTGCTCGCAGGTATTTCACACTGTTTGCAAACAAGGAGAGGTCTATTGCCTCAAAAACTTGACGGCATGTTGGCTAAAGAAATGGAAAATATAAAATGCAAAAGAATGGACAACGACGTGAGAAAAAAAAGGGAACTGAAAAAAGGAAGAAGAGGCCGGGTGAGGAAAGATGGGATGTTGGGGTAAACAAACTGAAAAAAAAAAGCGGGAGAGGAATTTCTGGGTTGGCAGTGACCTTGACAATGCGCGGTAGAAGGTGTTCTAGAAGCGAGGATTGAGGAAAGGAACCAGTTGTTTGAAGGTTCTGGAAAATAAAAACTTCGTAGCAATGAAGACACCGTATACCTAAAACTAAGAACTTGAAAGAGAACAATAATAGTATAATAGGTGGGCTAGAATTGATTCTATCTAATACTGGTTAAGTCTGTTTGAAAGTTTAACAAATGTTATGTCTGGTGAATATTACAGCAATTATGCTATGGTTTGTAGTGATTCCAAATTTCCACGTGCTACAATGATTTCTGATTGGTGTAGGAACATAGATTTGCCTGTCAAATATGATTTCACTTCTTTTATCTCTCGTTGTGACCAGCAATTTCTTTGTATAGAGCGTAAAGATAGGATTTCGGCCCTTTTTACTGAAGTGAGCGCTACTGATTTTTGTAAATTGTGTTTTGTGTCTGCACAGTGGCGGTTCAGTCTTACACGAGTCGGCTGCGCAGTTTCTACAAGTGGCACACTCAAGACAATATATTAGGTTGTTTGATGTGCTAGTAAAGCTCGATGTGCCTTTGCGAATGTAATCAGATGCTGTATTTTTTCGCTGGTAGCCGGCTGTATATGATTGCAGATGGAGAATCTGAACCAGCCACAGGACCAGATGTCGCCCTTGACTTTGCTTTGAGTTTAGCGTGAACAAGCATGTCCTTAATGTTAGCGGTGCCTCTATAGGTGACCTTAGGCAGGTTCGGGAAAGATTTTCTTACGTTTCTGGTTGGTTGCTAAAACTGAATAGTATTTTGTGAGGACGTTGTTCTTGTTCGAAAGTTCATTAGAACACTTTGCAGTTAGAGGAGGCGTTGTTGTTGTTGTTATGGTTTTGGAGCAAGGTTTGTGCTTCATTGCGATCCAGTTCCCGTGCGTCTACGCAGGCTTTGTGAAGGAATGTGTTGAAATTGTTTTTCTCTGATAGTGTTTATTTTAAGGCGGAAAGTTTGTTTACGTATTCTTTTTTTGTCATGCATATGCGGTGTAACCTTGTTGTTAAGAAATGTGTTATTATTTCTTTAAAAATCTAAAGAAAGCGCTATTTGCTCGCTGTCTTTCCAGTTGCTTTTTCTTGTAGCGGCAGACACCTTAGAAAGGCTGAAGACATCACTTTGAAAAACGATTACGAGAGGTAAATTAGTTTAGAAACAACATTAAACTAGGTAGTGAAGTCAAACCTTAGAATTCGACCCTTGTTTTGTAGGACCAATTTTTAAAAAAGAAGTGTCTAGTAATATTTGCGGAACACTGAAATTCTCCTAAGTTATGCGGGGAAACAAAAACCAAACCTATGATGAGTCCTACAAGCAGACGACTACAATGATGTCATTGTTAAAACAGGCTTACTCTACGCCAAATGTCCTAGCCATTTTAGCGACCATCTCAAAGTATTCGAAAATAATTGTGCCAGTTTAGTGCATTAAAGACAGAAAATTGCTAGATTTTTTCGCTGATAATACGTTTGTGATCACGTGGGTGACTTTTTAACTTTCCTGAAGGTTGTCTGGATGTTGTTTGGGAAAAACGTACTTCAAATCTACCGATCCTTATTTCTATACCAAACTTGGTATTCATACTACGTGAAGGGGCTTGTGTAAGATGTTTCAAACTCAGTAATATTAGTGCATTTGTTTTTCACATAGGCCTCTCAAAAGTTAGTCAAAATGTGTTGTTCGCTTTTTTTCATTGTCATACTGCATTTTGTGTGGATATCTGACCAATGAACACTTACTCAACAAAACGTATTTTGCAGAAAATTTATTTTTGGACCCCTAAAAAGAAAATTTAGGAAGAAAACTGACAAACTTCACAAAATTGTCATCCTTGTCGAAAGTGAGACACATTTCGCTCCTTGTGTTGGTCAAATGAAAAACTAGCTTTGTATTTAAATCAAAATTAAATGGAGAATTCCTCGCATTTCGTAAGTTCTTTATGAGAATTCTCGTTTTAAGGAAGAAAACAATTTTAGAAGTTTACCATTGGTGGCTGTCTTCTCATTTGGTCGTACGACAGCTTCCGCTTTGAATTTCCCCGTTGCCGTCAACGGAAAATTTCATAAACTTTTTTTCTTGAAACAAAAATTGAAATATAGAATTTGTCATATAGAAATAACTGTTTACTTGCTTTTAATTTAAACACAAAGCTGATTTTATTGAGCCACAATGTGGTTCTGTGTCTCAATGTGGACAAAATTGACAATTTTTTAAATTCTTCATTTTTTCCCCAAAGTATACTTCCTCAAGGGGTCTAAAATATTTTTTCCGCCAAATATGCTCCATTTTCAGTAAATATTTACTGCACGAATATTCGTGAAAAGTGCAGTATTGCAATAAAAATGCAAACATAAATCATTTTGGCTAATTGCTTGGACGTGTATGCAGAAAAAAATTGCTAATATTATTTAGCTTCGAGCATTTCACACAAGCCTATTCACTTATTATGTAGACCACGTTTGGTATATAAAAAAGAAGCTGTATTTTACAAGAAATTTTTCCCCAAACAATACCAAGACAATATACTGGTAAGTGCGGATGTCACCCACGTGCCCAAACAAATTCTTTCTTCGAAATATTCAAGTACCACTGTTTTCAGTGCAGTAAATAAACGCGATTTTTTCCGAATACATTGAGTAGGTCGTCAAGATGGCTGGAATGTTTGGCATGGAAAGAGTCAACAGCGATTGAACATGCGCAGTTATTACTTGTTCGTTAAGATATGTGCTTCATGCATGCTATTATTGCAAGTGCAGCCCACACACCCACACAGGAAAGGTGGTTGATGGTTAATATAATAACGGTCCCTCAGAGAAATATGGCAGTTGCGCTTCACGTGTTATGGTTGTGGTTTCACTGCATAATTGAGGAGAAATTCATTATTTGCAGTTAATATTATTAGCCACCATTTCCAAATCTAGAAGGTGCAATGCGTTCTTCGTATGAAACATTTAAATTCTTTTACTGACCTACCTGCCAAATTGCGCTAAATAAAAAAAGAATGATTTAACATCAGAATTATTGTTCTAAATGAGGTCTCCGACCATTTTAGGATGTCTGTCACCGCAGAAAAAAGCAACTGCAAAAGCAATCGAGCAAATACCGCATTTTTATTTTTTTAGGAATATTAGACACTTTTTTGAAACATGCACCCTCTCTATATGCTGCATTCTTGTGCAGTGACTTTATTTTATTATCATTCGTAATTTGGTGATCTTCTTATGTGAAATTGTGATAATACTTATTTTAGCTTCTAAATATTTTGCTGTTTCTTTTTATGTAACCAACTATCAGCCCGGTCAAGCTGTTTTGCAACAGCTTGTTGCCAATGACATCTCCCAGAACTCTAGTGTTTTTGCAGGCACAATTTTTTGTACCTTAATGAAAGTGTGTCTTAGTCCACTGCATTATGAAGAAACCTCTGATGAAATATTTCACTGATATTGGCGTGCATATGTATTGTTCTACACAAGACACGCGATCATCACGATATCTCGTAGCTTCGAGCGTAACAGCAAAAGAAGACACACGCTCATGCGGCAAATGGAATCCGCATGCTGTACAGCAAAGGAACGAATAGCTTACTACTTTCAAAGCTGAATGAAAATCTTTTCACTAAATGAAACGTGAAATCACTGTTTTGAGTTCAGAACGTATATCTAAAGTAGAATTCATCAATATTGACAAGGATGCATGCTGACAGCGATTTCCTGTCATTTCTAATCTGCACCCCCCGCCCCCCCCCCCCCCGAACCGTAGTCATATAAACAAACCTTCCATGCAGAAAGCTAGTCCTACTCTCTCCAATGCTGGTTACAAAAACATATATCTGAATAGGAGCACCCACTTTTTGTACGAACCAAGGAATACCTTTTGCTACGCCAGCCTCTCTTTATAAGTTAAGCACACAGTAATAAGTATTGGCAGTACTTGATTGTTTAACGAAATACTTATACATGAAGAGCTAAAATATTTGAATCAAACAGGTCTATAACGAGAACTACCTTCGTACAGTAAATGGGTTTCAGGATATCCACTTCATCAAGATTACATCCCTTACATTCGGGTCACTAGGATTATGCATCCTGAACAAGTTTCTCTTGAAAGGACAAAACACGCAGTCAGTAGCTATCATCAGCGAACACACTAGTTTCCTTTTCAATACTTACATAACCACGATAGCAGCCACCAGGAAGATTACGAGCAGTACTTTGGCTTTTGTCATACTTCTATCCTTCTAGGCACAGCAATATGAGAAATGACATGGTGCTTTGTTAAGATTCAAGCTCTTATAAGAAAGAAAACAAGGTCATGTGCCTTCAAGAGTGCAGTGCAAAAAATGAAATTAGAACAATACAATGGCAATCTGTCTTACGAGCTCTTCCTGGATAGACATCTTGGTCATCTGTTCGTGTGGAAAACACAGCTCTTGATTTTTTTCTTTATTTGCTAGTTGTGTTCAGCAGAATATTGTTGAAGTAGAATAAAAACAAAGCATCATTGTTATGGTACTAAAAAAGCGCAGTTGGATTTAGATACACGACCATGTTAACTAGAACACCATGTTTTCACACAACTATGGAAAAGTTCAGTAAACACCACATTTCCGTTTTTTTACAATTCAAACATTTACGATAAACCAAGATTGTAAAATTGCATTCTTAAAGTTCAAAGGGTATTTCAAAAGCTGAGAATCATCAATAGAAAGAAGCGCACCTCCAACAGGGGCAGTAACGATGTAAAGCAGGCTTGCGTCTACAAAACAAGTTTTACGGCTCTAATACAAACAAATGTACGTGTTTCGTACTGAGATGTTTGTGCTTATGCGTATACACGGTTTTGCGGTCAAACTTTTAGGCAACTGAAATACGCTTGCTGGGTTCGCATATTTTTACGTTGTCATTCTGTGTCTGCTCTAGTGGAACAGTGGTTATGGAGCTCGCCGACCCGAAGGTCGCGTATTCAATCCCGGCCGTGGCGGTCACATTTAGATGTAGGCGAAATAGTAGAGGCTCGTGTGCTGTGCGATATCAGCGCACGTTAAAGAACGCCAAATGGTCGAAATTTCTAGAGCCCTCCACTGAGGCTGTTTTCATATTCACATCATGGTTTTTAATGTAAAACGGTACATTATAATAATAATATTAATATCGCGTATCATTTCATCTTAAAAGTCTACTGTGGTGGTGTAGCTTTTAGGGTGCTCGGCTGCTCACTGGAAGTTCGCGGGCTCTACCGTGGCTGCGTCGGTCTCACATTCGATGGAGGCGAAAAAGTACAGGCCAGTGTGCTACGCCATGTCAGTGCACGTAAAAACACACCAGATGGTCTAATTTTGCGGAGCTTTTAACAGATTTTGCCGGAGAAAGCAACTCTAATAAAAGCCGAATTTTTTTCTGCACAAAATAAAGTACTCCGAAAAACATATTTGAAATTCAAGAACTCTAAACTCCCAGAGCACGGAGCCCTAATCATAACTACCGTTGTTTAAAAAAGAATAGCAGGCCGAGAACGGGCTTACTAAAATCGTCTCATACCATGCAGCCGGAAAGTAATTGCCCATGACACGCAATTTCTTTCTTTGATCAAAATGTTTGAAGTGCATCGATGTTCTAGTGCAAATTTCAGAGTTGTACCTACATTTACAATATCACTAATATGAAAACATTTGTTATTCGACGTTGTTAACATCAATTATTTTTTGTTGACTCTTAGTAGCAGTTAGGCAGGCGACAAACTTTTCATTGTATGCGTTCTAATCATTGTGCAATTCTAGTATGAACAGGCTTTTTTCATGAGGAGGCTCTTTTGGGAGCTTCTCTCAAGCGTCTTATACTCGCGCCTTGTCTGTTCTCGGCCGCGCCTACACAAATTCTCAAAGCTCCCGCTGGACGCACTGCTGTGCTTTCGTTGAGCTGTGCTCTTTCCAGAGACGGTCACGCAAGCGGCACGTCATGGCTCAGGCGGCACCGGCACACTCAGCGCAGCGTGATCTACTTAGATAAGTGACAAATATAGGGCCGCACCAGCACACAACGCTCGCATTTGGCGTGTTTCGTTTCTCTTTGCTGGGGGGTCCCTCAGTGAAGATTCTTTACTACCGCTCCGCAGCATACCGCTCCACAGCATGAACACCCCAGAAGCCAAGGCAGCAGCGTGGTGAGCTCACACTGCAGCGGCTTGGGCTCACCGCGAACACCTTGCGGTGAGAGCCCTCGAAAATGAAGCGAAGAGGGCTAGCCGTCTAGCAAACCCGGATCTGCACGCCAGCGAAGCACTTTATCTGTCACGTCTTTATATACGGCAGAATAATGTGTACGGACGATTCGGGGGTTACCCGATCATCTCCGAGCACGCTCTTCTAACATAGTTTTTTTTGTGAATATGGCGGTGATTTTTTGTTACTTTTTCAGCCATTAGGGGCTCCTCCATCATATTTCACTGTTCAGTACACATTCGATCTTCATGGTCCTTGTCATCAAATTGGCAGGGTTATAATTACAATTAACATAACCCAGTCACTCTCATTCGGCTTGCTTTTGCTGTATGCTGCGCGGTTTCTAACACAAATGCTTCCTTGATACAGTGCAACACAGTTTTAGAGTACCTCCAGAATTTCATGCTCTTTACTTTTATTGGTAAAATTAGGAGTTATCTGATTTTCTAACTAGAGTGACCCTAGGTGAGCAAACAACTTCCCTCTTTCTGGAGTAATATGTTTCAGTTAATGATAGAATATTTTGTTATGGATACAGTGACGTCGTTGCTTCCAGCTGTGCATTCTGTTCCAATATATGCTGTTTCTCTGGCTGCCGTTATATTTGCATCTGGGAAAATGTGCGCTGTTTACAATTTTCTTTTATTTGACCTGTTGTAGTTGTAGCATCGGTTAATTGTTAAATGATGGAATTGTTGAAGCTCCTCTGCCCAATTCTTCCATGCTCATTGGTGCAGATTCATAACGAGTAATGTCAGTTCAGTTTGTTTATAAAGTCTTCTGCATCAAAATATTTGTCCTGTAGTGAAGAAGATGAGTGGTACTCAGAAAGGTAGGTGGTATGACTCAGTCGGTGAAGAAGATGACGTTTGGTTGGCTGGGTAGGCTGGTTCCGCCATTACCACTTGACGTGTCGTGACCACTCTCCTGTTTTATAAAAGAGTGTCACTCTAAAACGCCTCATTTTAATTGGTGGAGCTGCTGGGTAATGCCTAATCCTGGAATTGCGAAACCGTACGTTGCCTCCAGTCGCTACGATGTCCATGGACGACGATCAGCAGGCGGCCGCCTCGGCTCCAACTACTGCAGCTCCTGTCTGCCTCGGCTCCTTTCGGCAACGCGATCCGCCTACCTTCAGGGGAACCGATGACAAAGACGTGGAAGACTGGCTCGACGAATACGACCGGGTGAGCAAGCACAACAAGTGGGACAATGCGCACAAGCTTACTGTCGTGGACTTTTATTTGATTGACGTCGCCAGTCGGTGGTACCATAATCACGAGAGAGACCTCCTCAGCTGGGCGGCCTTCCGAACGGCGTTTGCGCACTATTTTGGGCGTCCAGCGCTTCGCAAACTACGGGCCGAACAGCACTTGCGTACTAGGGTTCAGCAAAATGGTGAGAATTACACCAGTTATATCGAAGATGTGGTCGACCTTTGGCAGCGTGTCAACTCGGCCATGACAGAAGCCGAGAAGATCAAATACATCTTGAAAGGCGTGACTGACGATGCATTTCAGATGCTTGCACCAAAAGCCCGCAAACGGTAGCGGAAGTGATTCAACTTTGTCAGAGCTATGATGAGCTCTGGAAACAGCGTGACACCACTCGTCGTGCCAGCATGCCATGTGCAACAATCTCCACTTTAACGTCGGCTGGCACTGCTATAGACCACACCACTTCGCTTCTCGAGATCAAGCAATTCGTACGAAAGGAGGTCACACGCCAGTTGTTCCTCGTGCCTTATACCTCCGAAGGTGCCCCGTCTACTTTAGCGCCATCAATACAGCGAGTAGTCCAGGAGCAAGTGTCCGAGGCGCTACAAACAGCTCACGCACCACCTGTGGCTGCTCCATTGACCTATGCCAAAGCACTGAACGGAACCCGACGTCCGCCTGTCGTGAACGGCCACGTTTCTTTGTCGCGAACGCCTACGTCCACGCGCCCCTTTGTCGTACCGACTGAGCCTATGTACTAGGCTGCCCTTCCTTTCTCTCGACCACCAACTCCACGCTTTCAGAACCCTTGGCGCACTCAAGACAACCGCCCAATCACTTCGCCTGTGAAATTGCGGGTCACGTGGCACAATTTTGTCGATGGCGTGAGTTTTTTATGCATGACGACGTCAGGCTCAACAATTATGATTTCCCACTACCACCGGAGCCTTCTGTATCTGGCGAGACTGCCACCATGGACACATTTTCACCTCGCCGGAACTTCAACGGACACCGGTCGCCTTCACCTCAACGCCGTTCCCTTTCCGCTATGCTACGTCGACCTCGCCCTGTCCCTGAGGAAAACTAGGAGCCGCAGTTCCGGGGGCAAGAACTGCGGATCTTTCGAACTCCACAAGACCTTGTTTTTCGCCGTCCAACGTCGTTGCTGTCTCCGTTGAAGGTATACCTGTTTTTGCATTGGTCGATACTGGCGCCGCAGTGTCTGTAATGACTGAAAAACTTTGCCTTTGACTAAAAATGTCACAATGCCTCTTCACGACTTCCTTTTGAGCACTGCGAGTGAGCAACGAATTCGCCCTTTTGCTGCATGCACAGCACGTGTCGTTATTGCTGACAATAATTATACCATCGAGTTTGTAGTGCTCCCGCACTGTTTCCATGACATTCTATTAGGCTGGGACTTTCTCTGCACTGATCATGCCGTCATCGGCTGTGCTCGCGCCGAAGTGGAGTTCGCACCGTTATGCGACGCTGCTTCACTCGACTCGTCCCTTTCACCTGCAAAAGTTTTCGTTGCTGTCGACACTTCAATACCCCCGTTCTCATCCGCCCTAATTTCACTTTCCTATGACGTCTCTAGTGGCTCAACTGTTCTTTTTACGCCTTCTGAAACCGCTGTTCGCCGCAAGTGCTTTCTGATTCCTTCCGCTGTTCTGAATCTTCACGATGGATCAAGTGCAATTTATGTTTCAAATCCGTTTCCCTCGCCTTCCAAGTTACTGTGCGGGCAGTGCCTGGGCTTTGCCGATGACATTCTCCGCGAGTAGTCCAGGAGTGCACGTGTTGTTCCTGACCACTCGACAACGCTACCCATTGACGCT